TGATCAGCAAGAGACAGTTATTATAACATATGTATAATTTTCAAAATTCATTATTTGTAAGAATTGAACCTTAGACCTATCACTTAAGAGTTGACAACCTATCTACTTTACTAGATTGCTACACTTTTTACATCATAATTACTATATTTATTTTTTCTTTATATTATATAAATTGAAATTATTTAATATTATATTGCATATTAAAGTTACAATTAATAAAAAAAATAAGATCTTAAAAAGAATCTAGTTCAAGTTTTCAAAAAAGTATATATACTAACAAAACTGATGATAAAAAGAATAGTAATGATACTTCTTCTATTACAAACATATTAACTAGTATTAAAAAAAAGAAAAGTAAAAGTAAGAAAAGTTTTATATAGAAATACTTTAAAGTAATTGAAAAAAAGATAGAAAAATAATATATGTCAAGTTATGATTAAAAAAAAATAGAGAAAACAAAAAATGTAAAACAGAATACTTCTATAACAATTCAACATCAAATATGATTGCTCATCTAAGATTGCATAATATCATAGATAATAAAAAACTTAAATCTGAAACACAACAGAATAAAAAGCTATATTAACTAAAATGATCTAATCTAATACTTTACATAAGAGTGATAAGCAAAAAGAATTAAATTAAGAAGTTGTTAAATAAATACTTCTTAATAATTAACCACTATCAGCACCAAGAAAAAAAGAATTCTGTTGCATAATGGCAAAAGTTGATCCAAAATTTCACTCATCTTCTGATAGAGTAATAAGAAATGAAATAACATTTAGTTACTTAAAAAATATTGACACTCTTCAGCATAAAATTGAATTATTTTGCAAAACTGCTATAATAACATCTGATTTGTAAACTTCATATAATAACCAAGACTATATTGGAGTTACTTGTCACTGAGTAACTCTTAACTAATCATTATATAGTGTATTATTATATTATAAAAAATTATCTTATCTACATATTAAAGAATCTATTTATTAACTTATTTAAACAAAGTGTTTTAAATATAATATAGAAAATAAAATTATATGCACCATTACTAATAATGGTACAAATATAGTAAAAGCTATTCAATTATAAAATACTGTTACCTGGCTTTTATGTGCTATGCATACTCTACAGTTAATAGTTAGTTATTTTTTAAAAAAAATTAATTCTAAAACTAAAAAAATATAAAAGTTAGTTAATTTTTTTGATTCATCTAAACAACAAAAAAGATTGAAAAAGGCTCAAATAAGAATAATAGAAAGAGATAAATTATCTTCATCTAATTTAATTAGTACTAAATCTTATTTTGAAAAAGAAAATGCTAATGAAGTTAATGTTAGTACAGATACCAAATAACTAAATATAAATATTATTTTAAAACCTCTTCATCTACTTAAAGATTACCCAACTAGGTAGAACTCTATTTGTAAGTTTTGAGAAAAGTTTTTAAAACTAAAAGATACAATCATATAGTTAAAGACTAATTTAAAAATTTCACAAATTTAAATAATAAAAAAAATAAACAAAATCTTGCTTGCTATTTATCTGATGAAGATGAATAGAGGCTAATTGAAGAATTAGTTAAAGTCTTCAAACTATTTGACCAAGCTATTGAAGCATTTAGTGCTAAAAAGTACCTTATATTGTCAATTGTATATCTTATAATTGAAGTCTTAAAATTTGAATTTGTAACAAATTCAAATTTAACTTCAATTGAAAATGATTTTATTGAAAAATATAGTAATTTTTAAGTAATTATTTTAAATTTTTTATTATAAATTACCATCAAAATATAATAGTATTTACCTTTTTTTTTTATAATTAGATAGCAATAGTGATAATAAAGAAGTTCAAATACCAAAAACTTATAATATTTAATTAATAATTGCTTGCATTAAGCAAGCAATTTATAATTCTCTTTGGAAATATTGGGGTGAACCAAAATATACTGGTCTTTTAGCTACTTTACTAGATCCTCAGCTTAAAAAAATACATTTTTGGTCTAATTATTTATGAGAAAAAACAATAAAAATATGCCAAAAAGAACTTAATAGCATTACTAAAGCAATATCTATATAATTCACTTCTTTTACTAACATTATTTCAACTAATCATTATTTTGTATTAATATTTAATGATAATGATGATAATAATCTATTAAATAATAAAAATGAACTGAATAAATATTTAGAAGCATCACTTGCATTACCATCAACTCATTTTTTAGAATGGTAAAAAAAATGAAAAAAAGACTTTCCAAATTTAAAAAAATTAGCAAAGAAATACTTATCTATTCTAGCAACTTTGGTGTCAAGTGAATGCTTATTCTCAAATACAAGAAATCAAGTAACACCAAAATAAATACATTTTAGTTCAGAAACTGTTTCTTAAATATTGTTTCTAAAAAAAAATAACAAATTAATTAGTATTATATAAAAAATAATATAAAATTCTTTTCAAACTAATTGATTATAAAGTAGAAATTATCTATTATAAAATTTTTTTTATTTTAAATAAAGGTTTTAGTTATAAAATATTATATCTGTATAGAGGATAGTGATTCTAATATAGCGATTGGGTTGTTATCATCCAAGTGGCAGGTCTAAGGTTCAAATTTCACTTATGACAAAATTTGGAAATTATATTTGTGTTATAGTAACTGTTTTCTGTTAATTAGTTGGTCTTATACAGCTGTAAATCAGATATACCAAGTTAGGTTCTACTAATATTGGAAGCTTGGAGCATCTATATGAAGTATAACATTATATATATATATAGAGAAATGTATAATCAGTATTGTATAAAATTTCAGTACAAACCTATGATAAGACTACTCAATATAAAAGACTAAGAAACCAAGATGACAGAAACCCACTTAGAAATTCCTAAATAAAGAGGTAGTATGAACTTTTGACAGTATTATTGAACTGGTTGAAGCCTATGAAATATCTTTATAGGAACCGAAGATTAAACCAGACATCAAATATATATAGAAGAACATATAATCAATCAGGATATCAGATTTGCTAAAGAAAAAGAATACAAAAGTATACCATACTGGGTTATCTGAATTGGTAGTCTGGAAGAAACTACCAGTTCCAAGTTGTGGCTAGTAGAAAATGATGAAGAAGATAACAGAAAAATAGGTACTGAGGTTCTAATGAACTTTACAAGAGTAAAAATAGTATAATGTAGTGGTTAAACAGATAATCCTTATAACTGCAAGTGTTAGATAACTATAGCATGTTGCATAAAACTAGGTTTGTATATGTGGAATATAAAAGCTCTAGTAAGTTTTCTGTCAAAGATAAAGTAGTCTTAAGGGTAATGACTAGCATTGTGAACTTGGATAGGTGTAGTCTTGAAATGTTCTTATAATACAAGGAAAATTGCATATGCAAAAAGTTTAAATAAACTAGACTCCTAGTTGGCTTGCAGATATGGCAACTAGTGTAGAACTTATATAACAATATATAAGCAGACTACTTAAATTAGGTACCAAAAGTACATATGTGGCTAGTTGTAATCTTTAATATAAGGTGAGCTCCTGGTGATATGCCATGTTCTAATATACTTGAATAAAAATATCACATCTTTAAGACAAAGACTTTAACTATAAAAATAAAAAATAAAAAAATACCATATTTGTGTAATGAATTTTAGAATTAACAATCAATTATTTGAATTTAATTTAATGACTTTATGTTTAAAAAATTTTATTAGATGCAATCATTTAAAAATTAGTTGAGTTAATTAGGTTATTCAGGTTATCCAAGTTAGTCAGGTTAACTGGGTTGTTATCTGAATAAGAGTTATATAAACATGTAAGTAATCTGAAATAAAATTTTATATCAGGCCTAATTATAAAGTAGAATAATAATAGATTTTTTTATTATTATTTATCTATTATTTATATTTTATTATTTGTTTAACATACTTACTTTACAATATATTTCTATTATTTTGGTATTTAATTCAAGTTTTACTGAATTTCTAGTCTAAATAGTCTAAAAAAATAAATACAACTATACTTCTAGTTTATATGTTTTTTAATATATAATCTTTTTCTTCAGAACATTCTAACAATCTAACTAATTACAACAACCTCTTTCTAAAAACCAACATGTTACCTAATTTTACAAGTTCTAGTTTCATTTCTTAAATCTAATTTTTATAGTAACAATGTTGAAAATTCAAACTACTTCTCTAAGTTTTTCAAATAAACTTTCATCTTTCTAGTTTTTGTGTTTTACATAATTATGAAAACTTATCATAAGTTCACACTATGCAATACTGATTTGTGTTTCTTTATGCAATAGTATGTTGTACAAATGTCATGTAACTTTCCAGTCATGCTAGGTAACAAATATCTTATTCCAACCAATAATAACAGTTAACTGTAAAAAAAATTTTTTGTTAATAAGCGTTTTTTTGTTCTTTTAATTCTTTTACGTTACACCTGATTGCGAAATCTGATTGGCTATCGAAATTTTTTAGATCGTTATTTTAAACACTGTAAATCACTTGATATGCAACAAAATTGTCTCGACAATCGAAAATTTTGGCCGTAATTACTCAAATTTTACTAATAAAATCCCAACCGCTCATTAAGTGAAAATTGTTCCTAGGCTAAGTTTACCATTCTGTAAACCTATTTCTTTGAAAATTTCTATTTTTGAAATGAAAAGTTAATTCCGGCCAGAAATTAGTAAGCAATTATGTAATGCGGGCCAAAATTTTGCAGATTTACGGCCGTTAGCCAATCAAAATCGAGGATCTGCCGTGACAATTTTATTGTGGCAGCTATGATACGGTTTTTACGGTATAGGCATTCACAATACTTCTCTCAAAATTATGCAACTGCCAGACACGAAGAATACATTGAACATGAAAAGTACTAGAGACAAGGTACATCCAAACTTATTCAACACCAATTCTCTTGAAGGATTGGCAATAAAGAATCCAAAGACGACAAATATTTTTCAAATTTCAATTTGAACTTAAAATAATGTATCTTGTTCACGTAAATATTCACCAATATCAGCTTGGTGAAAAGCGACGATATCAGTAGGTTTTAACTTCCGTATTTCTACCATAGATCGCGCGGTAACACCAAAACCCTACCGATAAAAACAAATAAATAAAATAAAATAAAATAAAATAAATCCGAAACAAAGGTATTAAATAATTACCAAAGGTATATCAGACATTGAATATATTATAACACCTTGATGTTCGGGTGTATCTTCGGTAATGCGTCCGAGATGAGCCTTTAAAATATGATTCCCGTATAAAAATGAACCTTCACCGTTTGGTTTTATCCATAGTTTATACTTGGTTAACGAGTAATTACCATCTGATTAGTACAGTACTAAATAATATCTGATTGTATTTGAATTATGACAATACCTTCGCATACTGAGCAAGATAGTCCAAAGCAGTAATATGAAGTTTGAACTTTTTTGATTTGGTAAATTTCCCAAAGCATACGCCCAAAGAAGCTAATTGATCACGGCCTATGCTAACTGCTTGACGCAACATTGAGTCGCTTTTAAATAAAATTACGTCATTGAGATCGTGCAAATTACTATCGCAACTCAAAGACCCTCCAGCGAATCTTACACACAACTTGAACACTAATTTCTCTTACCTTACATAATAAACCTTATCATTATGTAATCTAAAATAATAAGTTTCGTCAGATCGATCAATTAAATGCAGCACATTATTTCCGATACTAGGTTAAAGTAATTGAGAAGAAGAAATCATTATTATACTAGCAGAAATGAATATCTCAATAAGAAAAAGAAACTCGGGACTTACTATTTTGTTAATTTTTCAAAAATCACTTTGGTCTCGTCTTCGGTCAAGGGCCTCATTTGTGACTTTTAAGATTATCATATATCGATATGTAAATTTATCGACCATTTTACTGATCGACCATACCTAAAATTACACAGGTACAAGGTCAAGACTCAGAAGCCAAGGACCCATTCTATAAATAGATTGCTTTGTTTCAACGCGCTCATACCAATCTTTGAAAATTTACTCATTTTATTCTACAAAACATTAACCGTAAGAATCCTTTAAAGGTTTTACATTCGATTTTCCGAGCTTATTTTGTTAATGTTCTAAATGTTATGTAGCATTTCATCATGGAATATGCACAAAAACTTTTTGGAAAAAAGATTAGCCCGGATGAAATGGTAACATTCTTTCTTCCTTTTTGATAAACCCAGCGGTTCTTACGAACTGCGGAACTCTTGCTAAAAGTAAGCATCATTACAGTTTGAGAGAGAATCTACACTTGAACGATAATGTTGCTTTTCTGAATCTTTTGTTGTGAAAAAAACTAACCTAAAATTTTTATTTTCATAATAAGGTAAAAAAATGGCAGCGGGATATTAGAACACAACAACGCGTACTTGAACGCCAAATAAAGGAATTCGGTGATGTAGAAAAAAAAACTACGAATCTTTTAAAGCAAAACGCAAAAAAAAATGATGTGAAAGCTTGTAAAATTTTTGCGAAAGAACTGGTAAGAACACGACGCCAGATAGTAAGGTTGCATACCAGTAAAGCACAATTGAATTCGATCCAACTACAACTTCAACATCAACTAGGTAAGCAAGACTTACAATTTAATATTATACAAAAAATCATATGTTTATGTGCATTATTTAATTTAGCTACCATGAAAATTACTGGATCGTTAAAAAAAAGCGTTGAAGTTATGAAAATGGTTAATGGGTTAGCAAAGCTACCAGAAATATCGAAGGGAATGCAAGAATTATCAGTAGAAATGACAAAAGTATGTTATTAACTATTTTGAGATAAGCTTTACTGACATTTACGTGAAATCTCAAAACAGCGGACGTGGTTGTCGTTTGATCACGGTCCGAATCAAGTTTAATTCGGCCGTCTTTAAAATAACACATCTATGCCCATTATTTCGAGATTGTACGATACACGTAGCGTTTTCTGATATTAACTACTGCATCAAATATATTGGTTAGGCGGGTATCATTGATGAAATGATAGAAGACACATTTGAATCATTTGAAGATAGTGACATTGAAGAGGAGGCAGAGGAAGAAGTCAATAAGGTCCTTTTTGAACTCACTAATGGTATGTGCACATTTATTCCGATTCTATATTTTAAAAAACTTTTATTGATAATAAAATTATATACATTTTTTTTTGAAGGTTTAATCGGTGAAGCTGGTGAAGTCGGTGCACCACTAGATGTAACGGCAATTTTTATTATTGTGTTCCATTTCCTTTACTGTTATAAATATTTATATTAACATATTTTTTTGCGATTGAAATTACAGCTAAATGTTGAAGAGGAAGAGGAAGAACCGGAACTTAACGAAATGCAAGCCAGGCTACAAGCATTAAAATCGTGATAAGCAAATAATAATAATCACAACTATCACGTGCAGATTTCTATTATAACGTAAGACTCTCCTTCACGATCAACTTTAGTAGCAGTGTTAAATAAAATAAATGGTTTTTTTTTATTATAATACAAGCATCATTAATATCGTGAGCCAATGAATAACGTTTCTATGTACTAATATAAATTCAAAACTATGTTAAAACCAAAATGTTATATTCTGTAAAATACATCAATTAAGGCAAGCCCGTTCTAAAAGAGAAATCTTTAAAAAGGTTGAAAATGAAACAGCTAAACTTGCCAAATCCGATAAACCCTACCTAAAGGGAAGCTTAATGCTCATATCACGCATTAACAAATTTTATGCGAATCCCTGATTCTTTAACTTCTGTAACCATTTTATATTGAAGCTAATTTTTGACATGACACGTATGACGAGCTATATGATGAGTGCGGCATTGACAAAGTGTGAAGGTTATAAGTTAAAACAAAACTAAGTGACAGAAGGTTGTAAAAGATAAGAAAATAGAAGCAAACTCTATAGAGTAATATCAGATTATATTAGAAAACAAGAGCAGCAAATTTCAAGAAATGATAAATTCATTATGAAGAAAAAAAAATCATTGCCATACAAAAATAAATATTCTATATCAACAGTTCACTTAAAAGATTAACAAAAAAGAAATGTTTAAGTATTGATCATATAGGAGTAAGTTAAATGTAAGTAAATACAAAAGAAAAAAGAATATTAGATAAAAGATTTTTTGATGTTTGCAATTGGTTTTTATTAATAAAATCAGAATTTTTAGCAATATAATATATTATACTTGTTTTATTAAAAAATAAAAATGAAAATTTATACAAATAACATAACAGCAATTATAAGTTTTAAGAAAAAAAAACATTTTTAACAAATAGTAATTAAAGAATTATAATTTATTAAAAACCATTTAAAGTATTATAAAGTTAAAAAGATTAGAATTAGATTTTTTTTTTTTTTTTTGAACTTTGGCGACAATGCCAGTTGGTTTTTATTAGCCTTAATTTTGATATAGTACAAATT